CAAGAGAAAGATTAATATAGCTTGTGTCCAAGAGACTAGATGGGTAGGTTCCAAGGCTCGGGATGTTGACGGGTTTAAGTTGTGGTACTCAGGAGGCTCTAGGGATAGAAATGGAGTGGGTATTTTAGTTGACGGGGATTTGAGGGAGCAAGTGGTGGAGGTTAGGGAGGATCAGTGATAGGTTGATGTTGATTAAGCTAGTCATTGGAGGATGTACTTTGAGTGTTATAGTGCTTACGCACCTCAAGTGGGATTGGGAGAGGAGGCCAAAAAGCTCTTTTATGAGGATTTGGATGAGGTAGTTAGAGGTATACCGATAACCGAGAAAATTGTCATTGGTGGAGATTTTAATGGCCATATCGGGGCAATTTCTAATGGCTTTGATGATGTTCATGGAGGCTTTGGTTTTGGGGAGAGAAATGGGGGTGGAACTGCGCTTCTGGATTTTGCTAAGGCTTTTGAGTTGGTGATTGCTAACTCATGCTTTCCGAAGAAGGAGAACCACATGGTTACCTTTCGTAGCTCGATAGCTAAGACCCAGATAGACTACCTACTCCTTAGGAAGGGTGATAGAGGCCTCGTTAAGGACTGCAAGGTTATCCCAAGTGAAAATGTTACTACCCGACACAAGTTGTTGGTGATGGACCTGGAAATTAAGAGGGATAAGAGGAAGAAGAGTGTATATGATCGACCGAGGATTAAATGGGGTGGCTTGACTCCTGACCTTTCTCGGGAGATGGGTGAGAAGTTGAGTGGGATGGGGGCTTGGAGTGGTAGTGGGGATGCGGACACCATGTGGAATAAAGCAGCTAGTTGCATTAGGGAAGTTGCTTCAAAGGTGTTAGGGGTATCAAGGGGTAAATTTGGAGGTCGTAAAGGAGATTGGTGGTGGAATGGGGAAGTCCAAGGCAAAGTGGAAGCGAAGAAGGCTGCATACACAAAGTTGGTGGAGTGCATAGACGAGGAAGAGAAGCGGTCGCTTAAGAAAGTCTATAAGACAGCGAAGACAGAAGCTAAGTTAGCAGTTACGAAGGCTAAGACGGCAGCTTTCGAGCGCTTGTATGTCGAGCTGGGGGACAAAGGTGGGGATAAGAAATTGTATAGGCTCGCAAAAGCGAGAGAGAGGAAGGCGCGCGACTTGGACCAAGTAAAGTGTATCAAGGATGAGGAAGGCAAAGTATTGGTGGATGAGACCTCCATTAAGCAGAGATGGCGAAGATACTTTCACCAACTTCTAAATGAAGAAGGGGGCGGAGACATTGTGTTGGGTGATTTGGCACACTCAGAAAGACTTCGGGACTTTGGGTACTGCAGGTGTTTTAGGAGCGAGGAGGTTATACGTGCTATTAGTAGGATGAGCAGGGGAAGAGCGACCGGACCCGATGAGATTCCGGTGGATTTTTGGAAGAGCACGGACAAGGCAGGTATAGAGTGGTTGACTGGGTTGTTTAATGTTATTTTTAAGACAGCAAAGATGCCTGATGAATGGAGGTGGAGTACAATGGTTCCGTTGTATAAAAACAAGGGCGATATCCAGAACTGTAACAACTACAGGGGTATCAAGTTGCTAAGCCATACTATGAAGATTTGGGAAAGAGTAGTGGAGATGAGGGTGAGAAGAGGGGTGTCCATTTCTGAGAACCAGTTTGGATTCATGCCTGGACGGTCGACGACCGAAGCCATTCACCTTATGCGAAGACTGGTAGAAAAATATAGAGAAAGGAAGAGAGACCTACATATGGTGTTCATTGACCTTGAAAAGGCCTATGACAAAGTACCGAGGAATGTCCTCTGGAGGTGCTTGGAGGCTAAAGGTGTCCCGATGATTTATATTAGGGCGATAAAGGACATGTACGGTGGAGCCAAGACTCGGGTTAGAACGGTTGGAGGTGACTCGGAGCATTTCCCAGTTGAGATGGGGTTGCACCAAGGATCAGTCCTTAGCCCTTTTCTATTTGCTTTGGTGATGGATGAGTTGACGCGGTCTATTCAAGAGGAGGTCCCATGGTGTATGTTATTTGCGGATGACATAGTACTGATTGATGAGACGCGGGACAGAGTTAATGCGAGGTTGGAGGTGTGGAGACAAACGCTGGAGTCCAAAGGGTTCAGGTTGAGTAGGACCAAAACAGAATATTTGGGGTGCAAATTCAGTGATGCGTTGGATGAGGCAGATGTAGAAGTGAGACTTGCCACACAGAGCATCCCCAAGAAAGAAAGTTTTAAGTATCTTGGGTCTGTAATACAAGGAAGTGGTGACATCGATGATGATGTCACACATCGCATTGGGGTTGCGTGGATGAAATGGAGGCTTGCCTCTGGAGTCTTGTGTGATAAGAAAATTCCACCTAGACTTAAAGGTAAGTTCTACAGAGTGGTAGTTAGACCGGCCTTGTTGTATGGAGCGGAGTGTTGGCCAGTCAAGAACTCTCATGTTCAGAAAATGCAGGTTGCGGAGATGAGGATGTTGAGATGGATGTGTGGACATACTAGGAGTGATAGGATTAAGAATGAAGTTATCCGGGAGAAGGTGGGAGTGGCCTCTGTGGTGGACAAGTTGAGGGAAACGAGACTGAGATGGTTTGGTCATGTGAAGAGACGGGGCGCAGACGCCCCAGTGAGGAGGTGTGAGGGGCTGGTTGTAGAGGGTACGCGGAGGGGTAGAGGTAGGCCTAAGAAGTATTGGGGAGAGGTGATTAGACAGGACTTGGCTCAGCTTCACATTACCGAAGACATGACTCTAGATAGGAAGGAGTGGAGGTCTCGTATTAAGGTTGAAGGTTAGTAGGGCTAGCGTGTTGTCTCTTCTTGCAAGGGTAGGGGTTGTAGCGTGTGTAGTAGTCCTAGTCTTGCACTTGCAGTTCTTTTCTGTGAGATCGATAGCCTTTTGTTGTTTATTGTGTTTCATTTCTCTCATTGTGTATTGATGTCATTGTCTTCCTTTGTTGATTGTATATTATCTTTCGTATTGGATGGTATGTATATACACTGTCTTTCTCGCCTTTTACTTGGATTTGATGTACCTGAGCTGAGGGTCTTCCGGAAACAGCCTCTCTACCTCGCACGAGGTAGTGGCAAGGTCTGCGTACACTCTACCCTCCCCAGACCCCACCTAGTGGGATTTTACTGGGTTGTTGTTGTTGTTGTTGTATCCTTTCTATTCAGCTATAACGTGATCTAATTTGAGTGCCCCTTTACCGTATAGTTGTAGAAAACCGAAAAAAACCGAAAGAATCGACTGAAATCGAAACCGAAAAAATTGACTTTATGTGGTTTGATTTAATTTTTAGATTTAATAAACCGACATAATTGGTTCAGATTTTTTTTAATGAACAACCAAACCAAACTGACCTATGTACACCCCTAATTATAACATCAAAAGGACAAGGCCTTAAATCCCATGCCCATGCATGGACAGGCTATGAAAAAGTAAAACAAACCGGATACATAATATATAGCTCGGATACATTAAAAATTAGCTCGGATACATTAAAAACTAGCTTGAATACATTATAAAATAAACCGGAACATAATATGTAGCTCGGATACATTATAAAATAATTTAGAATTAGTAGAGAAATTATAAGGGATTTTAGAGGTTTTTAGAAATAGAAGAGAATATTAAAAATAAGGAAAATATAAGACGTGCATTTTCGTAATTTTTCCCAAAATTAATAAAGAAAAGATTCGAGCTTGAATCGAGACCAGGGAACTCCATGCAATTCATGTGACAGTTCTATTATTGAAGTTGTTTGCTTTGATATATGAGATTGACCTGAAACAGGTCTTAGTGGGTGCCAACAACTTTTACTTGTTTGGAGTACAGGCTGAAAAGAACGATCTTTTTATAATTAAGTTGGATTTTCTAGACTTTGATACTAATCTTCTCATTATACCTTTCCGCCCTTTTTCTAGACGGGTGATCCACAAAATTTATTAATTTTTAAAAAATATTATTAGAATAAAAGAAATTGAAGGAAAAGTAAAAAGATTTATGACCCATATTTTAGTTCAAATAAACTATATATAGCTCATCTAATCACAAACAAACATTGGACGAGTTGTGATTCAACATGCATGTTTATTGACTCGATTCATTTTAACCTGCAATGTGCGCTCATTTCTTAAAAAAACTTTAAAATTTTACTTTGAAATTGTATATTATCCCAATTATCAGCAAAAATATCAGAGGGGGAGTGTAATTAAAGAACAAACAGAAATTGATACGCAAAAACACATATCAAAAGTCACACCTAGGAAATTGGTCTTAGCTTGCAAAATCATCGGATTACACATGACTTCTGCATGTAGCACATTACTGTTACAAAGACTTTTGGTGGTCTTACTGACACGTGTTATATATAGTGGTACACCTTTTGATAGAGGTAAAATCATAACAAGGCTATAGCTATGGAGATGTAATATGTTAACCTGTGATCGATGAATTGACTCATTCGCGATGAAAATACACTCTTTCTCAAAGTTTCCAATACTCATCTATAGGCGATTGTTAAGCTAATTTTGCCCTCACCACGGAATAGTACACTTATGTATCTTCATTCATATTGTGTTTTGTTGCAAAGCCCACACAACTAGATATTGGAGATTTTTTCGACGGAATGAGTTAGCCCATAGTATTTTGCTAGATTTCGTATAAATGTGTTTGGGAAATATAAAAATAAATTTGGGCTTATTTACCATACTATAATATAAATAAGAAATCAAGAAATTCAACACCACTATTCTTGAATTACAACTTGGAGTTGGACCTTTATTCTACACACGGATTCCCAATCTCCAAGACAGAACCCTTATATTAGTAGCCGAAGTAAAGGCCAACATGAGAATCAAAGTCAAGTGCACCTCTTTATCAACTGAATCACGTTTTTGGTCTAGTCGATGAAACAAGAAGAAACATATTTTTCTTTGTGAAAAAACACACCCTAAAAGAAATTATAAAATAAAAAATTAAGAACACATACTTGTTGGATCAGAGTTGAGGGGAATGAAGCCTGGTCCGAAATCATCTCATTGCATGTTACCTTCTTATGAAAGATCTCGAACCAGACGACATTCTCCTCAACAATATTACATGTCTCTCTCTTTTTATGTTGTTATTTTAGAGAAGAGAAAAAGATAGAGAGTATGTTCAAATATATTACTCTTCTTAGGGTTCTTTAGTTATATGCCATGGAAATGAAGACAGATTCTTATATAAAATAATCAAATCCACCTGCAAAAAGGTGTGTATGTACGACTTAAACTTTTTGATGAGATGGTTATTGTTTTCGCACGTCTTTGCTTAGAGAATATCTAATGTAAAGCTCATGTTATAATTCCACTTTAAAGGTTGACATGCTCAAAAGTAAATAGTAATGGAGTTTATTCCTAAGCAAACGATGTCTTTTGCTTCCCACTTAGGTAAAGGGTGGATGGCACATTATATATACGCATCTTAGTTTAACTTCAACTGACAATTAAACATTTCAATTTTGAAAAAATACACATCTAAACATTTCAATTCGTCCCATTATTGTATCAATGGAAATTTCTTTGTGTTTCGTGTACACCTGACGTTGATGTGACACATAGATTTTGAAGATGTATAAATAATCATTTTATAAGTTGAAGTATTTAACTGACTCAGTGATAACGAGTTACAGATGTCTAAATGTGAATCCTTAAAGTTGAAGTATTTAATTGTCGAGTATATATATAGCTACTTTGATGCCAAGCTTAAATATCAAGCTTGTTGGTCCACGTTTTGGAATTTCATGAGACAAAGTTACAAAGCATAAAGAACCAGAACCGTGGATATTTTAAAGGCACTTTAGTTGTTTCTAATGTTAAAAAATAATTATTTGATCCCACTTTTTGGTTTGTATGAGATACTTGAATATGTGAATTATTTAAGCTTAGACATGCCTTGCTCGAGTTGAGGGTCTTTTGGAAATAATTTCTATGCCTTGCACAGGGTAAAAATTGCTTACACTTAGCCCTCCTCAACCTTGCATATGAAATTACACTAGATGTGTTATATTGTTATTGTTACTAACTGTTCAATTTTAGCCCATTTGGTTCCACATATAGTTTTACCAGGAAATATGTCTTTGCTGTAGTTCTATTTTGAGTTAAACTAGTCGTTTGATAGAGTGTATAAAAATAATTAGTAATGCTTGTATTAGTTATGCTTGCATTAGTTATAAATAGATTATTTCTTATGCATTGTTTGATTTGATGTATTAAAAATATCATGTATTGTATAAAAATATTTATTTACAAAAATATCTTCCACAATTATTGTGAAAAAGATGAAAAGGGTTTTGAGGGGTAATTGTGTCTTTAAAATGCTAATGCATGCATTAAATTCTTTTACATTACTAATACCTAGAAATCCATGATATTAGTAATACACTCCCCTATACATAATAGAGTGTATAACTAATGCAAATATTAGTTATTCATAGCATAAGAAAGTGCACTAAACAAGATACTACTAATATACAGAGTTAATGCATACATTAATTTTGCTAATACACTCTACCAAATGACCTTGGAACCCGTACAATGCGCAAACAACGTTATAAAATAGTAATTGTTGAAATTACTGATGTGAGAAGTTTGGTTATATAATAACATACCCAATGTAATTCCACTAGTGAGGTATAAGACTGGAGAGTAGAGTGTATGAAGTCTTATCCTTACGTTGTAAAGGTAGATAGGTTGTTTCCGATAGACCTTCGACTCGACTCAAGTAAAACATATCAAATTAGGATTATGTCCTTGATAAGCTACAAGTGTGTCACGTCTTGTCTAATCACTTCTCTAATTATTGTTCGGTCTATCTCTCCTTATACCTACCTCCTCACTGAGGCATTCGAACATCTCCTCTTCCTATTTGGGGTAATATCCTTCGTAAGTTTAGTTGTATTTTTATACTTTGATTTGTTGCTTGGATTTATTGATGCTCAATATTCTTTTTATTATTAGTTTTCTTTAACTACTCATTTAAGCTAACATGACTTTATTGATAATGTTTATTCCGTACTACAACCAATACAAACAAGTACAACATGATATCTGAACTCACGAGCGAGCAACAAAAGACATAAGATAGGGGTAAGACTACAAACACACGAACCCTTTCCACACTTCACGTGTGGAATATCACTGAGTATGTTATAATTGTCGTCAACACTTCATCCATAGCACATCGTCAAATTCACCCTTTAACTTCTCTCCTACTAGTACGTTCCGTTCTGTTTCCCCTGTAGTAGTCTCCATTGGCATAGTCGAGGAGTGCCAAGCTGGAGTTCCATTCTCATATCCGTTACACGTCAATCGTCTCAATCCACTCCCATCCAATTTCACCACATATAAATCACCATACGGCTGAAACTGATTTGGCAATGACACCGGTTCTGCTGTCACTCCGCTCAAATTGCCCGTAAACAAGAGCCATTCACTGTCCTTACTAAAACATACATGATTTAATCTCTCTTTATCTACTTCCTCTGATCCCTCCGGCCCTGCCACATAGATCCTCCGGAGCCCTGATCCATCCGGATGAACAACGTAGATGCTGAAACAATTAATGTCATCCGGATTGTGCATGTTGGAAGAAAATGCAATTAGTTTCCCGTCAGGTGACCAATTTGGCATCGTATCAATCCATGCCCCATTCGTTAACTGACGAATTTCTCCTCCCTCCATTTCTCCATTGACTGCATCGATAATATACAGATTCTTATGCCCCGAACGACCTGAACGAAATACTATATGCTTTCCATCAGGCGAACAAGAAGGAAATGCGTTGTTACCAGTCTCTTCCCCTGTTAGAACTTTTATATCTACCGGAATTTCATCGTCATTAAGGTTCAATGAACTGAACGAAACACGCGCTATTTGTACAGTTGTTTTTACTGATTCAAATATAGGTCCGATTGATGTAAAAATCACGCCAGGTTCAGCTGGAGACCACGAATTGCAGAAAGATGTGCGATCTTTAATCAATGTCCATTTTTTCGATCCATCTGATTTGACGATTTCTAGTCCTGTGAATCCCGGATTGAATGCAATGAATTCACCGGACGGAGAGGATGCAGGGAAGAATCCATTAAGCCTCAGCATTTTCAGTCCGTTTTCCGGAGAAATTACAGGGTCCAAGTAAGGAATTGTTGTTTCTCCTGAACACGATTCGCCTCGATATCTGTGATAACCGAGGAAAGTCGATTCAGGAGAGAAGAAGGGATTGTAATGGTGAATGGTAGGATTAATCAATTCCGTCACCGGAAAAAACTTTTGAGACTCCACATCGAAAATCTCGATGTGGCGATAGCTCTTTCCGGGTCTTCGAGTTGCAACAGCAATAATTGATGATTTAGAGCGGTCTGATGCTACTGCTGCTGCAGGTGTAAAGCAATGCACACCAGGTGGAGTAATTCGAATCGAACCATTACTCTCATCAACCAAATTGGATAAATCGTCTGGCAAATCGACTTTGAAAATGCTCCACCATCCATCATCAGCTTGTCGATGAAAATAAATCGTCGAATCACCGGACCAAGTTGGCCAGCCACCGTGTCTACACACAATTGTTCTCATATCAGGTTTAGATACAGGGAAAACAACAATATCAGTACTCAGATCATGAAATTCATCGGTAGGCCAACGACGATTTCCATAGGACGCAACAGCAATCATGTGTCCAGATTTTGAAATCGAAGGACTATAATCAACGGATCCTTCTGGAGTCAATCTTGTTACCTCATTGTCACCTTCGATATTAGTGCAGTAAAGAGCAGAGGAGCTTGTGAATTTTTTTTCGGAATGCTGATGAGCTGAGATGTAATAGAGGCGATTATTCCGAAGAATCGGACAATCGAGAAATAAGCTATTAATTGAAGTAGGAATTAGTTCGATTCCTGAGGGGTGTTGTCTCAAGTAAATGCGAGGAGCACCTGATCTTTCAGAGACGAAGACCAGTGTTTGGTCTTCGTCAATGAATTGACCGTTGAAATTGACGGATGCACCGTCTGTGAGACGGTGCTCCGTGATTGGGGAATTGAGAAAAGACAATGGAGATTTGAGGGAGAAGATATCGAAACCGTAATTGGTTCTACCAACAGTAGAGAAGATAATTGAACCATTTGGTGATTGTGAATCCATAATAATAGTTAATAATTTTGTTGATGTGATTCTGCAGAGATGAGAAATGATAATTTATAGAGAAGTTTCAGCTGCATTTGGATATCCCATACACGTATCATAAATCTTTATTGAATGTGACATCGGATCTAAGATAAGTGGAAAAATGTTCACGTTAGCCATGACGTTTGGTCTTTTGTTTTGTTTTGACCTGTGCTTTACCCATTGTGGGGCCAAAGCGTAAGCTAAAGTTGGGGTATGTATTTGTCGAATTTTATACAAGTTTAAGTATGTATTTGTGCACACTCAAAGCCAACGTTGAAGGGCATAGATGTCAGCTGACATCAAGTTGAAGGACATAATTATATATTATGCCTTAAAAAATATAAGAAGGAACTTACAGTTAGAAACATCAAACCAGAATAAGTGATGAAGAATGATGGAGTTTCTACGTTATAATTTGTGATAAGGCACAAGTACTCCTAGAGTATACCTGAAATCTCAGAGACACATTTAAACTTAACTTAGGGTGCTATTACTAGCAAGGTAAAAAGGAAAAAAAATTGTCAACATGATATATAATTGTAATATATTTTGACTATGATCAACACTATTTATACTTGTATGTTGATAAATTTTTTTCCTTTTTACCTGGTGAAAGACGGAGAAAATAAAAGACATAAATCATAATACATAAATGTGCCCTTTAACTTGATCTCATTTTATGTTTATGTCCTCCAACTTTGAATATACACAAGTAGATACTTAAACTTGTATAAAGTAGAACAAGTAAACATACGAGTCCTACCTGGCACAATACACGTAGGACACCACGTAGGACAAAAAATGTCATGTAGGACATGTGTGTCTATTTGTTCAACTGTACACAAGTTTAAGTGTCTACTTGTGCATACCCAAAGTTGAAGGGTA